TATAAAGGACTTGAGTATTTTCAGATTTGGGTCACTTTGGGAGGATCCTGGACTCAAGATACCAAGAAATGATTGTATCATCATGGCCAGAGGCTGAGCCAAAGGGCATCTTTATCTTCCTTCTGACTTAAAAGGATGAAAAAGTTTGAATTTTGGCCTAGTGCTTATAAAAAAATGAATGCAAGCATTCAGATATCTGCTAATCTTTGAGAAAAATCCCTGAAATTGGACAATGTAGGCTGGATTTGAGAGTAAGACACTGGGTTGAAATGGCTCTTCTACTAGTTCAGGTAAAACATGATGCGTGAAACATAATGTAGTGTAATAGATATTAGGGTAGCAGAGAACTGGGTGTCATGGAGATGAGCGTAGCTCATCATGAGTTCAGCAGAGAATTGGGGGTTGAGGGAGAAAATGATGTGATTTGGCGATAGATCAGATTCCCAAAAGTGAGTTAAGACTGATGCTCCATTTGAGGCTTGGCGGCTGCTTGGCTAGGTGGATGGCAAGGCCATTCACTGAAGACATCAAGAGAGAAACAATTTGGGGGGAAGGAATGGGGGTTCCGAACTTCACATACGTTGGCCTAGAGATGCTTGTGGAACATCCAGAGAGGAATCTAGTAGTAGTATGGATGGAAGAACATGGAGTTAAGAGCAGGGGGTCTGGGTGAGAGGATGGAGACTAGGTGTGGTGATGAGTCCAGATGATATCAGTTAATGTTCACAAAGCATTTGGAAAAGTGCCTGGCATGAAGATACATGGGCTAGCTGCTGTTAGAATACCAAGATCATTCGCACACAGATAAGAGTTAAAACAAGAATGGAGACCTTCCAGAAATAGCCCAGAAGTCAAAGGTGACGAGGCATAAAGCATGGCCCACGCTAATCCAGGCTGGGCAGAAGAAAAATAGCAGGAAGGGTGGGTGCCAAGAAACCAAAGAACGAGTACCAAGGAGGAGTGCGTGGCTGTGCTTCACAACGAACAACATGAAATGTGGGAGTCAATGCATCCTTCCGAGTTTTATATAGTTCTGTCTCCTCAGGGCATAAGCAGCACAGGTAACCCGCGCACCTAGAGCTACTTCGGGACACGACAGACCTCAAAGACACCGAAGCGCCTGCGCACGCCCGGCCCCGCCCCTTCGCGGTGCGCAACCCGAAGAGGCCCAGAATAAGGCATGACTCCGCCCCTACCGCTCTGGCCACGCCCATTCACGGTGAGCATCGCGCAGACTCTTTGCACACTGACCAGCTGGTCCTATCTCAGCACTGTGGAGTGCCCGCGACCAACTTGCCCGGGAAGTAAGCGACCAGCTCCAGTGTACCCGGCGGGCGTCTGGGTGGCACAATTCCGTACTCCGTACGCCAGCGCTGTACAACCGGGACGGCCAGCTCGCAACTGCGCAGCCGCAGCCGACGTGGGGCGGGACGGGGGCGGGACCTACATGGAGGCGGGGATTGTGGGCGGGTCCGTGTCACGTGGGTAAACACACCGCACGTGGAGGGCAGCCTGAGCGACGAGGGCGGAGCTGGCTGGTTGCTCTGGGGAGGAGGCGGGCGGGCTGCGGAGTGCGCCCGCGCTGGGAGGCCCTGGGCAGGCGGCTGGGCGGGGGCGGTCAGGCTCTGGCCGGAGCCTCAGTTTGCTGAAAACATGGCAAATACTGACTTTGGCTAAGTCGGGCCAGGCCCTACCCTAGGGAACTTAATGAACTGGGGATAACCGAATAAAGTGTGCGCTTTCCCATTTCACAGATGGGGTTAAGAAACTTGCCCAAAGCCACGTGGCTAGCAAGTGGGGCAACCAAAATCCGACCTCGGGCATCCAGCACCTTCAGAGCTTGGACTGTGGCTTACATTATAGGACTTCTGGGTCCTACTTCAAGCATTTTGCGCTGACCCCTCGGGACCGAGCGTAGTCTGGGTCCCTTGGTGAAGCCTGTTTTCCTGTTTGTGCAATGAGGTAACAAAGATACCCATTCCAGAAGAGACTTAGAGGAGGCTCTTTCCAAACCGTCGCGATAGTTTCCGTTCGGGTGTGGCGGGGACAGAGTCGGCAGGGACCTCTGGCCCCACATTGCCTCTCGCTGGACAGCCCCTCCTCCAGCACATTCCCTCCACGCTGTCTTCTCCTGAATCCGAGCAGAGGCAGCGCCCTCTGCAGGGGCAGCACCCATGGCACTGAGGCTCCTTCCCTAAGCTGACTTCTACCCAAGCCGGCCTCCTTTCTCTCCCCTCCTCCTCCTCCTCCACCGTCCTCTCCGCGTGACCAGGGGAAGGCGCAGCACACGGAGTCGGCCCGGCCTGGGGCCCAGCCAAGCTGTCAGCCCAGATTGGCGGGGGTTGCTGGAGGCCTCGGAGGGGGACAGGAGTGCTTAGGATTGGAAGGAAGAAAATGTTCCAGGCAGAAGAGCTGAGCTGCAGCCTCCAGGGGAGTTCAGAACACCTTTCCAGGCCCAGCAGCCAGAGCCACCCTAGGGATCCCCTACCCAAAAGGTGATACCTATGAGCTGGTTAATTGGATGTCTCCTTAAAACAGCCCAAGCTTCCCATGTAGTGCAGTGTGGCAGGGGACCCTGAAAATCTCTTCGTGTCTCAGCCTCCCCCACTGTTTTTTTTTTTGTTTGTTTGTTTGTTTTGTTTTGTTTTTTAAACAGGGCTAATGTTATACCCACCCATAGAATTGCAGGAGAATTAAATGAGTAAACAGGAGTCAAGCATTCACAGCAGTGCCCTGCCCTTTGAGGAGCACTCATTACTGGGGAGGAGTCCCGTGTGGATGGTAACTGTGTACTTTCCTGCTGTCTCAATCCAAGTCCCCTGGTCCTAATTCTTTCCTCAAAGTTTATTTTATGAAACTTCCCATACAAACTTTTTCACACAGCAGTTTGCTAATGCAGTCACTGTGACACATCAGAACAGTGACATAAGATTGCATAGTGACCCACAAGCTGAATCCCCCTGCGTGCCTCCTGCCAGTTCACTTAAATACTGGCTAGCCTCAGCATGGCCCTCTCTGATAATGCTCCTTTCTTTGCCCACCCCCACCCCTTGCATCCCCAGGACCATCAGCTACCTGTTTGACTGACTATTCTGTTCCATGCCTTCCTGAACTACAATGTAATATCGGGCTAGGCACACTCCCTCTGCTTCAAGGGGGCAAGACTACCCTGCGTGGGTTTCTGGGTGGCAGACAGAAGCAGGAATAGCCCTGCCTAAGGCTTTGGTTAATGAAAACCCTGCTGTTTCTCTCCTGCAGATCAGGTTGGGGGTTCTTTTGGGTATTGTCCCAAGGAAAAGGAAGGTGAAAGCACAGAGACCTAGGGCATGCCAGAAAAGGAAAATTGGGGAACTTAGGGATCAGGGAGACCTCAATTGTGATCATTCCCTGCTAGGATGAGCTCTCTCCTGAAGTCAGATGGTGGTCAGGCTTCTCCACAGGGATGTCCAGAATCTTCCTTATATCCCATGCCTCGCATAGAGACTGGTACTGTGGAATTAGGAAATCCAAGAGGATAAATGACGGTTGTCACACAACTGCAGCAAGAGGAATCCTGCTGTTGGAAGCAGAGTGTTTGCAGCTGTTTCAGAGCATGCTCACATCTCTGCTGTCACTCATTATTTAGGAGGGTCTTTGTTGTTGTTTCTGTATTTACTGCTTTTGACAAACCAGTATCCCTTTCTTTTTGTGGTGGAGCCAGGTAGTTCACATGGTCTGACTGCAGTCCTGCCCAGAGACTGACACATGCCACATGCCTAACCAGTCAGAGTTCTGTATTCCTCTGGCCACAGCAATTAGTGATCCAGACTGGACCAAAGAGAATCATCCCCAGAACTTTGCTAGAGGTCCTGAGAAAGAGGTATTTTCTGGCAGAAATGTCAACTTGGAGATACTAGCAACTATACTACATGAAGTCAGCACATGACAGACAAAGCAGAGTTGAGCAAAGTCAAGAGCCAGATTCCTGAGGGTAGCATGTAAACACCCAGATCCAGCCATGCCTGAATCTAGCTATATCTACACCTTAGTTATTTGTCTGAATCCAAAAGCTCATATGAATCTATAAATTCTTTTTTTTCTCTTGGCAATTTGAATCATATTTCTCTTTCAACTGAACTTTTTCGTATCTGACCCTCTGTTGTACCAAAGACCATAATCACAATATTTGATTGAGAGTTGGGGCTTCATGTCATATCAGAAGTGGAGCTTACCTGTAAGTGCCCCTGTCAGGGGCTTTGGCCTGCTCTGGCCTATCCCCTGGAACTGCTCTTGCCTCCTGACCATTGAGTTGGTGGCCACCCAAACTATTGGCCTTGATTGTGTGTTCTAGGGCATCTGCTTTCTGGGTCAGTCTTGTCCATAACTATATCCTTAGGACCTGAAATAGAGGTTTTCAGAAAACATTAGTGGAAAGAGTTCATGAGACATTGAGGCTTATGTGGCTGGTTGGGATTTGTGAGGGGTTCAAAAAATCAGGATCCCCTAGTGCTGCTTCCCTCCCCCACCCCGCCACCTGCCCTTGGTACGTGCTGGCCCTAGTATCCCATCCCCTTGCCTCTCACTTCTGCTGATCACTTTACTCACTCACAAGTATTCAACCCTTACCTTGAGCCATCTCACAGATGACGGTATGGCCAGTAGAGTGAGGAATGAGTTTTCAACATTAACATACCCCTCTGGATTGCCCTACCACACTCTAAAGGCTTGGGTACTCTGGACACTTCCAAGAACACACTCCAAAAGATCACAGCTGCTACCCACCAGGAAGCCAGAAGGGGGGCATGAAAACTGCACAGGAGGAGAGAGGTTGCTGCTGGGACCCAGACTGTGCGCCTCCCAAAATGTGCAGTCGGCACATCTGCCTAGAGAAAAAGGGAGGCCCAGAATCACAAGCTTTGTTATTTTTACTTTTTGGTGCGAGGGGCCATCTGTGCAGGTTTGAGCTTGTCTGGAGGAAACCAGGATTTGTAGATGAAATTCAAATGCAGGATTTCTTTGCAGGCTGTCACGCTGAGACTTTCTCCAGGAGCTGGGGTGGCAGTGCTGATATTTTTATAGCAGCAGAGCATGCCAGAGTCCAGCAGCTGTTCGGGGTAAGTGTGCACACAGGGCCTTCTACCAGAGTGCTGTCAATGCCTCAGTAATGGTCTTCTCAGTGTTGGCTCCACCAAGGATGCCAGGATGGAACTGAACCACCAGCTGTGTAAACTGACCCCAACTGCCTGGAAGGAGGAGGTCTGGAGAACAGAAAATCCAGTGGGGAGAGGAGGTTGGCAGTTTCTAGAGATAAGGGTTAGGGAGGCTCTGACACCCTCCATTATTGCTGTGGGTCCCTCCAAAACTACCTCAATAAGCATGCAATTGTAGACCCATGCCTAGGATATGGCCATTGCCCCCATTTTCAATTATAGGTCACTTTCCTGCTCCCTGCATGGAAATTCAATTACTGCCCTGTTTGAGCTGAAGGTGGAGATGTCCAAGTTGGAGACCCCCTCTAGCATCTTCTCACAAACCAGGCTTCCTGGGGGAAGGGAGGACACTATAATGTGGGGTCAGGAAAGGCCATCCAATCTCCTTTTGACATCATCAGTGAGAGTCCTATATAGGGCCCTCCTTGTAACAGCTGCTGCTGCCTGGGTACCAACCCACACATCACATGCTGATGAAGTTTGCATTCAAATAATAACATAGGTGTTATCTGTGAAAACTTGTCTCTAATTTGTAGCACAAAACATTGGATGTAGGCTGGATGCTTTCCTCGGCACTTCTCTCCCGGGCCAGATGTGTCACATCTCCTTCTTAAGGTGTCTACCAGGACGAAGGGGAGAGGACATGAGATTTAGCGCATATAAGTTTAGAAACTCTTTGATGCTGTTCCTGATAACTTGTTCCAGGTCCTGGGGGTGGTATGGTGGTGAGAGAAGAGGGCAAATGATTTGTGACTCATCCAGTCATTGCTGTGCCCCTTAACAGTCCTGCCTTTTTCTATTTTATCCCAAATAATTCAATCTAATAATAGGCAGGGGCTGTAGCCAAAAGTGATCCATAACTATTCACTTTTTTTTTTCTTCCAGAAGATCCCTTAATTGAAGAATGGGGTTTGAAGTACACCAAGAGGGGTCTTTAGCTCAGAAATACTGCCCCCAAAACACATGTACGCACACATTGTCATTGCACCCAGAGAGAACCCCATCCCAATGTGTGGGATCATAGCAAAGCAGAGTAGAGGAAGATGAGACAGGGACTAGGAACATAATGACAGACACTGCCAGGCAGGACCACTTTACCAGGGAGAGTAAGGTTCAAAACTGACAAGGAGCTCAGATAAGGGCTTCCAAGGCCTCACTGGACTCCAGGCTGTGCTGAGGCTGACTAGCTTGGGCGGACAGACTTCTGTGTTTTTTGGGTTTTTTTGTTTTGTTTTGTTTTGTTTTGTTTTTTCCCCACAGAAACAAAAGGATGAAATCATTAGCATCAATTGGGCACATTCAGTGTAGATTACTGACATGCCATTGTTATGAGGATAAAAGAAATATAATTAATAAACCCCACCCTGCCCGCCTTTTATACTTCCACGAATTCAGTATTGACATCTGCATCTATCTCATCCCACAGATGAGCCATCCCTTTCAGTTGGCCTGGACATCGCTAAAATGAACAGTGCCGAAAATCACTCCTGGGATCTGTAAGCCCATCTTTCTCAGAGGCAGTTTGTCTTCTGGCACAGTTTTTTCCATCAACGAGGCTGAAGCAAGAGAGGGTTTCCCAGCAGCCCAGTTCAGGTTCCATTCTAGGAGGAACAAAGCCTGCGGGCCCATGGCAGAGGAACCCCAAGTTTCCTCCCACCTAGAATTTTTCTTCAGGGCCACCCCGCAGGGCAGCCAGTGACCTTTTGGGCATCAGTCCTTGATAGGTATGGAGAGACCATTTTCAGGCAACAGCCTTGGAATCTCACCTGCCTCACCTCTGGCCTTGACATGCCTTAGATGGAATGAGGGCTAAAGGTCACCCTGGAGATCTCTGAGAGGCCAGGGGATTTCGGGGCCCACTTGCTTACCAGTTTGACTTCTGCCCTGTGTACCACCCTCACCTCCACCCCACTGTGGTAACTAGAAAAAAAAAAAAAAAAAAAAAAAACGAAACCTTTGCATGAAAGGAAGCAGGGGAAGTCTCTGAAGTGTGACTGCAAACCTGAAAACAGAAAACTAGTCTTGCATCACCATCTGGAAGACAAGAGTTTGAGGAGAAACAGAAAGCAACTTTTAACCCCTGAGAGGCTGCACTTAGTCACTGAGAGAACATCCTGTTGCCTCCTTGCTTCTGAACAGGACTGCTGGCTGGAGGGCTTGCACTGTCCCTTGGGCCCAGGAGGAAACAGAGGCCCAGAGTAGGTAAGTAATGAGCTAATGTTGTTAGAGCCAAGACACTCACTAAGTATGGGAATCATGAACTCAGATGTCTTTGGAAACCAGGCAGGTGAAAGAATATGTTTCTGGATACTGAGACATGGCCAAATAGTCTGGTCTTCCAAGGAGAAATATGCTTCCTTTGCCATTTTTTCTTGAAGTACTCTACCTTCTTGATCTATACTGTTTTCTCCCATTCGATGGCTACAGATACAAGAAATATTTGTCTGTTCCAAGAAGATGTGCAGTGTGTATGTAAAGATAAACAGCTATGGAGTCAGAGACATCAGCATGAGGTACTATAGGGATTGGTAGGGATTTGGGCACATTGCAGATAGACTTTACTCTGCCTGTAGGACAGCCAAGAGTTGGGGAGCCCTATCTGAATGGGAATGCTCCTAAGTTTTAAATGTTGGTTGAAAGGTGATTTAAAACCCTTTGGCAGTCTAAATACAACAAAAACTCATGGGTGCACCTGACTATATACAGGTCCTCATGCACAGCTTCTGCATTAGCCTCTGCTTTGGCCTCACAGTCTGGAGGAGGAATAGAGGATCGAGAACTTCAGAGGAGTGCTTCAGATCAAGTCACCATCTTTGCAGAGATTGAGTACTCATCTCTTGTCTATAACAAGAGAACCATTGGTTAGGTGCTCAGCAAGAGGGATGCAGAGAAGGTTCTTGAAGGCTCAGGTTGTGACTGCTGGAATAGATTTAACTTTGGACTTTGTTTCTTTTAAAAGGATGGTATCACTGGGAGGGTTCATCACCATTCTTTCCACAAATGAAGCTGGATTCCTGTATGTCATCTCATCCTTGCAGCTCTCCTGGGAACTGGAAGGCACTGGTATGTGGCTCCTTTGCTCAGAATAGGACTGGGGCAGGGACTTGATTCCTTCCTGTTAATGTCTTGCTTTTCAATCTTATTTTCTTCCAGAGGAACCTTTGGAAGTAGAGGATAGTGGCTATCTATGTAAGAATCCATTCATTCATTCTTGGAGCAAGTATTTAATGAACACCTGTTTTGTGCCAGGCCCCATTCGAGTCAATGAAATCAATTGGTAGGTAATCACTTAAAAATAAAAAAACAAAAAGAGTGACTTTGTGTGCCTATTTTATTTTACTTGCTTTTTATTTTTCCAGATGGGATCTCATTGTCCAGAATAGCCTTGACTATCTGGGCTCAGGTGATCCTCCTCCCTCAGCTTCTTCCAAGTAGCTGGGACTACAGGTGCCCTGTACCATACCCTAACCCTAACCCTAAACTACTTAGAGATAATACAATGAAAAGAAACAGCCCTATAGGGAAAAAAAAGCAAATATTTTCATTAATTTATATGTGTGAAAAAATTTCAGGAGCAAGGTACACATTATTAATACCAATATTGTTAAGAATAGATCTCTGAGGGATTTTTGCTTACTATGTTGTGTGATTTTGAAGTATTCTAACTTATTATACCTAAAAAGCTCTACTTTCATAACTAGAGTAAAACTAGTAAAGTTAAATAATAGCAATTTTAATGGAAAGAAAAGTCAGCAATACCGAGTGCTGGAACAGATGTGAGGAGGTGGGAACTCTTCATCCTCCCTGGCTGGGAGTGTAAATTGGTGCAATTTGGGAGAGGAGATGATTACCTTTAGAAAGATGCAAAGGCGCATGCCCTTTGACATGGCATTTCCATGTGTAGCAGTGTGCCCTGCAGGAGTTTGCATGGGTGATACACATGTGCGCAAGATGTCAATTAAAGCACCATTTGTGATGGTGAAAAAAGAAATTGGAAATCTATTTGTGCACCAGGGTAGGAGGGACTATAAATATATACCACAGTTAAAAATGAATGAATGTGACTATTGGTATCAACATGGACAAACTTAAAAGTAACGTGGAAAGAAAATAGCAAGTGACATGATGTAAAAGGTTTGGTGCCGTTGATGTTATTTTTAAAAAATCCAGAGTGGTGTTTGCTATATTTATTGCTAATGGAGCCACATGTAAATGATAAAAGTCTAAACATAAATGGAGTAATCATACAATCCACCCCTGGTAATTGTTTCCTCTGAGGAGAAAAGAACCATGAGATTGGGAAGGGACACTAGGGAACTTCACTTGTGCCTGCCATATTGTATTTCTTTATTTTAAAAAGTATGTGGCCCACATAGTGGCACACGCCTGCAGTCACAGCTACTTAGGACGTTAAGGTAAAAGGATCATAATTTTGAGACCAGTCTGGGCAACTTCGTGAGACCTTGTCTCATAATAAAGAATAAAAAGGGCTGGGGATATAGTTCAGTGGTAAAGTACCCCTATGTTTAATCCCCACTACCTTTAAAAAAAAAAAAAGGAGAAGGAGAAGGAGCAGCTCATATGGCAAATCTGGGTAATGGGTCCACAGATGTCATTTGTGTTATTCTTTGCACTTTAAAATCTTTGCCAACCTGGTGGTATAAACTGATCTTGTTGTTTTATTTTTCATTTCTCTGATGATTTGTGCTTTGAATAGTTTTCTTGCCAGTTCCCATTTTTGACAACTGTATTAATGGTGAAAGGTGAAGTAAGTGTTGCAGTGGTGAGAGGGAAGGTGGAAGTACCCTTTGGGCAGGTGACCATTCAGGTTTAAGCCAGGTGGAGGCTGACTGGGGGGGTAGAGATGCAACCAGGAGGTGTCATAAGTTGGAGTGGTGAACTTGCCCAGGGACAAATGTCAAGGGGCAGTGGTGGCCCTGAAGGGCCCTATGACTCCTTCAACTTTTGTTGGAACAGAGAGGAGGGATTTGGGAGGAATGGTATCAGGCATGTAATTGGGAGGTGTGCAGCCACAGAAGCTGAAGGACGATGGAATGTTTCTAGAGGGCAGGTGGAGTCAGCAAAGCTAAATGTGGCAGGGATGAGGCTGGAGAGCACTGTGAGATTTGTCACCTGGAGATTGTGTTAGTCAGCTTTCCATTACTGTAACAAATCCCTGAAATAATCAATATATGCAGAGGAAAGGTTTGGTTTGATTCAGTTTTGGAGTTTCTGGCCCATGCTTGGATGGGCACATTGTTTTTAGGCCTCTGGTAGAGTGGTAGCACACTGTGGCAGCAATGTGTATAGAGCACAACTGCTGCCCTCATGGACAGGTAGTAAAGGAAAGGCAGAGGAAGGGGCTAGGGTCCCATTGTTCTCTTCACAGGCATGCTCTTCATGACTCAAAACCTCACACTGGGCTCTATCCTCCCAACAGTGTCACACTGAGGGCCAAGCCTTTAACACATGAGCCTTTGGGGATCTTCCAGATCCAAACTAGAGCAGGTGTCTTAGATGGCCTGCATATATGCCCAGCTGGAGGGTGCTGCAGAAGTGACGGTGGTATAGATAACACTTTCAAAGGGGCTTCTTAGGATGGGAGGAAGATGGGGTTAATGACCAGGGAAGAGGAAGCAGGCTGGAGGGAGGAGAGCACATCAGAGCAAACTGCTAAGTGCTCCTGGGGTCCCCCTGCTCTCAAGTGGGCTGTGTGGGGCACACAGGGAATCCAGCCAGTCTCACCCTCAGCACTGTCCCCCAGAGATGCAGGGTGAAGACATGTCCTCAGCTCTAAACCACTCACAGGAGTTTATTATGAATCAGAGATCGTATCACACCACCACATACAGCAGTGGTAGATTCAGGGATGGTGACCACCATTTTTTTAATGTGCTAAGCACTGGGATAAACATTTCCTATGCATTTTCTCATTTCATTTCCCCTCAGTTCTATGGGATAAAAAAACATTGTTGTCATCCTTAATCCTTATTTCATAACTGAGGGACACTGAGCTTGGAGAGGTTAAGCCCAGATCACACTAGGAAGTGGCAAAGCTGAGTCCCAGTTCAAGGTGAATGCCTGCAGAGTCCAATGAAGAAATGACACCAGTGTGGGCCGAAGACAGGGTCAGACTCATTCAGGAAGTGAGATTCAAGCTGGCATTGGGCAGGTTGGCAGGCAAATGCCTGCACAAAGGTACAGGGGCAGAAACTTGAGGGAGATGGAGGCAGTCATTCAGGCAGGGCCATTTAGAAATTAGTGTTGGTGTCGCTGATTTTTACAGACATTCCATTGCCTTCCTGCTTGTCCCCCGTATGCAGCATAGCCTCTTTCTTATGGTGCAGAGAGGCCTAACTCTGGGTTGTTTCCTCATCCTCTGCCTCCAGACTGGCTCTGAACAGGTCACTGTCACTACTTTCCTCTTTATCAAACCCAACTTCCTGTTGCTGGGGAGACTACACCCATCTTTTATTTGATGTACAAAAGCTCCTCGTGACATGTTCTCTGTCATCTCTTCTGCCTCATCTTCTCCTTCCTCCTGATACACCTCTATCCTCTGACTCCTACTTGTGCCCAATTGTGAGCACTTTTTGCAAACTGCTGAGGAGTGTTCAACAGCTGCACCTCTAAAGCACAGCGAAAGTGCTATTCCTGCCCTCTGCTCCCAGAGGCCCCCAGCTCAAACTAGGACCCTCATGAGATAACAGTTGTTTATATGTCTCACCTGCAGGCTCACCTGAGTCCCTTGGCCACACTGTCTGTATCTTTGTCTCCCATATTGGTAGTGCTTAGCACACAATAGGGGATCAATAGGAGGACATCTCACACATCACGCTGGAAAAAGCATTAGACTTAACTTTTTGGATAAAGATGCTACAGTTTTTGGAATTGGCTTTGATCAGGACAGTGATTTAAAGAGGGGGAGAACGGGTGGGGAAGGTTTATTTAATAAAGAATAACATTGCACTTCCATCTGAGGCTCTTGGGAAATAGTACCTGGTAACCAGTGAAACTGAGCACATTAGAGTCTTCTGGAGTTAAATTTGGAATTAGGACGAGGTAGGGAAAATCTATGCTCATTGAATACAAAATGCAATTGTCTGTCAGTGCAGGAACTGAAGTATCTGCAGCAAATTATATTTAAGACTCTATTGTCACAGGCAGATTAGCTAATGCTTGATTTTAAGTATAGGCTTCTAATGCTATTACTCCTGGTTAACTCTGCCTGGCAGGTAACCTTGTGGAACAAATGACTGCATTGCTTGAATAACATATTTGATCAAATAGGACAATTCTTTCAAAAATTGAGTTCTCTGTGGCAATTTGAGACCTGTAATCAGCAAATTAGATGATTACAGCAGGGATAAAAATAGTCTTCTAACAATGTCCAAGGTATAAATGTGATTTGAATTTCAAAATGCTGAACATGTGGTAGGAAAATGCACGGTTGGGTAAATATGACTAGACATTATCAGATTTGATTTCTCTTTCCGTCCCTGCTCTGAGCTAGAGCCTAATTTTGCCGGAATAAACTCCAATCTTGTTTGTGTTGGAGTTAGAGGATAGAGGTGTATCAGGCACTAGGCTGCAAATCTTCGACGGCTCCCAGCTTTCCCTATCTGCTGCAGGTACTTGCCGTCCATGTGAATATTAGCACCACTGATTTACCCACTTGGTATTTAATAGCCTCCATGAAACAATAAGCTGTCCAAGTTTCATGCGGGGAAGATGACACTGGAAAACCTTCAAAACCCCCCATACAGGAACCTGTTGTCTTTTTCCTCAGGCACAGTGGGCAGAGAAATGATAGCAACTCTGAGATATAGCAAGTGAGCAGGGGAAAAATATGAGGGTGTGGTATTTTGTGCCACAATCCAGTCTTCAAGGTTGGTCAATAGGTTGGTTTCTCCAACATAGAGCTAGCTTTCTGTCACTGTGACAATATACCTGAGATAATTAATTTATAAGGAGGAAAGATTTATTTTGTCTCAGTTTGTCTGAGGTTCCAATACACAGTTGCTTGGCTCCATTGCTGTGGTCCTGTGGTGAGGCAGAGAGAACTCACTTTTATAACAGAGCCTCTCCCTCAAAACCCTTTAAAGCATGAATCCATAAATGGATTAATCCATTCATGCTGTCAGTTCTTGTGACCCATCACTTCCCCAAGGCTCCATCTCTGAACACTGTCACACTGGGGACCAAGCCTTTGACCCATGAGCTTCTGAGGGACAGGTAAGCCCCAAACTGTAAAGTCAGACCAAGGGCCCTACATCATCTCTTTGGTCCTTCCTGTGCCACATCTTG